AAGGGGAGGTGGGCAGGGGAATAGGGTGACTGGGTGATGGACACTGAGAGGGGCACTTGATGGGATGAGCACTAGGTGTTATGCTATATGTTGGCAAATCGAACTCCAATAAAAAATATTCAAAAAAAGATTCCTGTTTTCTAACTCTGGGAAATGAACTAGGGGTGGTGGAGGGGGAGGAGGGTGGGGGTGGGGGTGAATGGGTGATGGGCACTGAGGGGTACACTTGACGGGATGAGCACTGGGTGTTATTCTGTATGTTGGAAAATTGAACACCAATAAAAATTAATTTATAAAAAAAAAAGAAAGAAAAATCTTGCAGAGAATCTTCACAGCACCATTATTCATAATAGTCTAAAAGCATCAACAACCAGATCACCTGGCCGGCTCAGTCAGTAGAGCATGCAACTCTTGATCTTGGGGTCATGGGTTCACATCCCACATTGGGTGTGGAGATCAAAATAAATAGTGAATGAATGAAAGAATGAGTGAATAAATAAAAGCATAAACAACCTAAAAACCTATCAATTTATGAATGGGTAAACAAAATTACACCGATACAATGGAATATTATTCAGCCACATAAAGGAATGAAGTATCAATGCATGCTACAACATGGAAACTATTAAGCTTAAATGAAAGAAGCCATATACTAAAAGATAAATATTTTGTGAATCTACTTTATGAGCTACCTGTCATAGTCAAAATCAGAGATGGAAAGTAAAATGGTGGTTTCCAGGGGCTGAGGGGAGGAGAGAATAGAGAGTCATTGTTTAATGGGTATAGTTTCAATTTAGGAAGATGAAAAAATCTGAAGCATACTAAAAAACGGTGGTGATGAGTGCTTAACAGTGTAAACGTACTTAATGTCACTGAACTAGCCACTTAAAAATGGTTAAAATGGAAAAAATGGTAAAATGGTATTATGGTATGTATATTTTACCACAATAAAAAAAGGAATGAAATCCTAGTACATGCTACAACACTGACAAGCCTTGAAAGCATTATACTTAAGTGAAAGAAACCAGACACAAAGAGACATATATTGTAAGATTTCATTTATATGAATATGAAATGTTCAGAACAGGCAAATGAGAGAAGCAACAGATTAGTCATTGCCAGGGACCAGAGGGAAAGGAGGAATTAACTGCTAAGAGCATGAAGTTTCTTTCGCCGGGGCGGGGGGGGGGTGATGGAAATGTTCTGGAATTGAATTGTGGTGAGCACAAAGTACAACACGATGACTACACTAACCACCACTGAATTGTACATTTAAAATTTTCAAATTACATGATTTATGAATTTTCTCTCAAAAGAAGTTTGGATAGAAAGTCTTTCATCTTGGGATGCCTGGGTGGCTCAGTGGTTGGGCGTCTGCCTTTGGCTCAGGGCATGATCCCAGAGTCCCAGGATCAAGTTCCACATTGGGCTTACTATGTGGAGCCTGCTTCTCCCTCTGCCTGTGTCTCTGTGCCTCTCTCTCTCTCTCTCTCTCTCTCTCTCTCTCTCTCCATCTCTCATGAATAAATAAATAAAATCTTAAAAAAAAAAAAGAAAAGAAAGAAAGTCTTCCACCAGAATGAGTCATCTCAGTGCAAGGTAGAAACCATCCTTTTCATGACCGAGCCTCAGAAGTCACAAAGCATTTCTCCCATCATATACACCAGGAGTCCCTGGTCTGGCCCACATTCCAAGTTAGGTTTTACATTTATATCATGAAACTCATGTCCTATCACTTTCATGACATGGGGATGGTATTAATGCCTCCCATCTACAGGTGACAACTCAGGCTCAGAGATTAAACAGGGTTTCCCAAGGCCAAGATCAACAGGTGGCAGAGTTCAGACTGCAACCTAGACACAGCTGACTCTATAACCTGTGCTCTTAACCCTCCATCAATGGTGGTTCTTAACCAGACACTATTTGTGAAGCCATAGATGCCTAGGACCCCTCTTCAAAACATCTCTTAAATAATCATTTCTAGGGCTTAGTTTGTACACTTGAATGTTTTTAAGATCCCCAGGTGTTTCTGAGACACATCCTATATATAGAACCACCCCCTCTGTGCCCAATAACTTTGTATTATTAATATGGGCAGCTGACTCTAGCTGGATGGTCAGTGCCTCCACCTCCAGCTCCCTTGTGACTGCCCCTATGACAACACAATGTCTGCCTGCAAGAGGCAGGCGCTCAGGGGATATCATTGGACAGAAGGATTCAGAGCAACTGCCAGTCAGAATGTCAGCTGCCAAGGGGTTCCAGTGGAAGTAAGGGGACCGCAGTTTGTGCCTGAGAGCTGGCCGACCTGGCCACTCTCTCCAGTGGGCAGGAGGTTCACTGAGGCCCACCTGATGGGCAGCCCCTGCTGCCAACTGGGGCACCTCAGCTCAGCCTAGAACAGAGGTTTCAGGAAGTAATACTCTCCTCAAGCCTCCTTTCCCAGTTCTCATACTTAGAGGCCCAGCCTAGGACTTAGCCTTAGCCACTGAGACTTGGTGGCTGTTTGTCCAGCAGTCAGCATGGATCACCGAAGCCGACCTCGGGGCATAGGCCTGAACCGAATCCCCGGGACTCGAACCTGTCGAACCCCACTCCCCTTCCATGTGGAACAACAGGAAGCCCGGGAAGGAGAAGAATTTGAACAACGGGAAGTACCTCGTCAGAGAACTCCTGTCTACGTGCCCCCGGAAAGTGAAGAGCTGACAGACAATGTTATGGGTAAGGACAAGCTTCCCCTCCCCTTAGAAAAGGGAGGTAGCTTCATATTTTCCTCCTTTGCCCACAGGAAAGAGGTGTCAGGAAACAAAAACCAGAGCATATAATGGGCAGGCCTGGGGTGAGGGAAGAGTCTAAAACGGCAGGTTTCCTATTAACTCAAAGGACTGTCACAAGGGGCAAGGACATGATTTGTGAAAGCAACTGGAAGCTAAGACAGGCTGTTGGGAACATTAGGTGTCATTTTGAAAATCAGGTGCTTACAATAGCAAATGTTCCCAGACTGCCAGGTGCCTAGGGAAACAAAGATGAATTACACATTGATTTCAACCCCAGAGAGCTGTCTCCTAGAAGAAAGGCAGTTAGGATGGCTTCTGCAGAATTAACAGATGAGAAGAAGTCAGAGGAAGATAAAAAGATGGCGGGGGCGGAGGGGTGGTGAGCCCCGCGGGGCAGAGGCGCAGAAGGGCTGCCTGCCGGTGGCCCCGATGTGCGTCCCTCTCCCCTGAATTCTCACGTGCCATGCTGGCAAATGGGTGTGTGATGGGGTTAATTGTCAGAAGATGGAACAGCTCTGTGCTGGGAGAAAGGGTTCTCTGGGAACTTACCAAGTCTTAATTTTTAAAACTTATGCACACCTTGAGACAGTCTTAAGTCACCAAACTGACTTTCCTGCTGGAAGAGTTCCTTTCTCACTAGAAGAGAATAAATGGTCTCCAGGTATGGCTTTTCAGGTTAGACCTTTTTTCTCCAAGTTTTCCCAGGGCTTAAAAGGGGTACAGCAGGAGAGGGGAGTCATCGCTGCTCACCCGCTCACCCTAAGGAAATGGAGAGTAAATGTTAAAGGTATAAAATGCAGGCCACAATAAGGCACAACGGTTTGTTTCAAGTTTGGTGGGGAGGCAGGATGGCATGTGGCGGCGAGGCTTTGGGGGAGAAGTGGGCACCGAAGGCTGAGAGGATCTAAAACAGTGTTGAGTGCAGAAGACCAGTAATCAGTCAGCAACCGGACGCCATTTCCAGCGAAGCTTTGTAGACGAGAGAGGCCTGGAAGGGTGAACGGGACACCACGTTACGCCACAAAGGGTCTTCTGTCGTCAGGGAGCAATGGCGGCCGGGTGGGCCCCAGAGCGCAGGCGCAAACCCCGGTGGGGAGGGGGAGGAGCTCGCGGCCTGAGGGAGCAAAAGAGGGTGCCAAGGACCCTCAGCTCTATTCCCCTCAGATTCTTCCAAGGTGTATAATGGGCTGGAATGGGCTAAGGGTTGAGTTTGAAAATATCAGCTTTCCCATCGCCTTCAAAGGGCTGACACAAGGAACAAGGATGCAATATGTGAAAGCCACTGGAAGCTAAGACAAGCTGTTGGGGACATTAGGTGTCATTTAGAACATCAAGCCATTACACAAGCAAATGCTGAGTGCCAGGTGCCTTGGGAAACAAAGATGAATTACGCAGCCATTTCAATCCCAGGGAGCTGGCAGTGTAAAGGAGGAAACAGGGTGGCTTCTGCGGGATTCAGAAAGATGACAAGAGCTCCCAGGAAGATAGAAGGGATCTGTGGGGCGTAAGGGCTGCCAATGTGATGGGGTAATTACCACAAGACGGAACAGCGCTGCGCTGAGACAAAATCCGGCTTTCTAGTAACTTTTCGAGTCTTAAAAACAAACACTGAGGAGGGTCACTTGACAGGATGAGCACTGGGTGTTATACTCTATGTTGGCAAATCAAACTTCAATAAAAACAAATGAAAAAAAATAAAAACAAACAAAAAAACACCTTTGAGACAGGCTTAAGTTACCAAACTGCCAGTTTTCTCTTGCCTGCTTGAGAGGGGTAAATGGTTGGACCTTTCTTCTCCAAGTTTCCCGGGGACTTAAAAGGGCTGCAGCTTGAACAAGTAGTCACGGCACTTTTCACACACATCTCTTCAGGAAAAACCGAGTAACTGTTAGAAGTACAAAACTCAAGCCACCCAAAGGCAGAAAGGTTAGCTTCACTTTGCGGGTGGTGTACGCTGGCGAGACTTTGTGGCAGAGCTAGGCGTGGAAGAGCATCTAAAAGTGCAAAGAAGCGCATCCGACCACTCGCGCAAGGCCACCGAGAGGCTTTGGTTCCCAGAGTTGGGCTAAACTCCCGGCCCCGGGCCGCTCAGGGCGCAGGCGCAAACTCCGGCTGGGGGCGAGCAGGCGGGGCTGGAGCCCACGTGGCGGAGGGGAGGGGTGGGTGGAGCAGGGAGCGGGGAGGGGGGGCGAGGCGGAGTGGGGGCGGAGCAGGTCTCGCGAGGCGGTGCCCCGGCTCACGCGGGCTTCAGGCGCGCGGTTGTAGCTCCCTGGCGGCGGGAGAAGTCGCGCTCGCGCCAAGAGACGTGTGTTTGCACTCGCGTGGTCATGGAGGCGCCGCCGCCGCCGCCGCTAGCCGCGACGACTCCGGCCTCTGGCCGGAGCCGAAGACTGCTGCTGCTGCCACTGCTGCTCTTCTTGCTGCCAACTGGAGCTCTGCGAGGCTGGGAGGCAGAAGAGAGGCCCCGAACCCGCCAAGAGGAGTGCCACTTCTACGCGGGTGGACAAGTGTACCCAGGGGAGGCGTCCCGGGCTTCGCCCGCCGACCACTCCCTGCACCACAGCAAGGCCAAGAGTAGGTGGTGTCCCGCCAAGAGGAAGGGAGGTTGGGGGGGGGGGTGGCAAAGGGAGGCGGGAGGTGGAGAGGGCCCGACACACGTGTACCCTGGTAGTACCTGGGGGCCTGGCTTGGGCGGCACCCTTTGGACGGCCTCAGGTCCCTGGGCGGGCCTGCCTGGGGGGCGGAGGTAAAGGGATGGAGACGGATTCCGGCTGTGAAGAAACGGACGGGTTCCGCGAATCAGATTTTGGAAGAAGTAATGGTTACCTCAAAGCCGCAGATGAGGTTAAAGAGGGTGGTCCTGGCCCCTGGTTTTTAGGCATCAGGATGTTGTGCAAACTGAAACACTTCCTCAACATCAAAAAGTGCCTGCAGCACATCGCGTCTATTTTCAAGTACTATTTCAGGGAAGAATACATTGAAAAGTTGAATAATGGTTCACAGAAAGTTTAATTAAACAGAAAAGTAGCTAACCAAAATTCTCAGGAGGGCAAACCTTTCGTTTTTCTTTCTTTCTTTTTTTTTTTTTGTTGTTGCGTCTTATAAAGAGAGTTAAAAGCCACCTTCCCCAAAACCATAGTTCGTTGGTATTCTTTGTTTCTCAAAAATGAATAACTTGTTACAGGGTGTACTTTGGAGGCTCCTTGTAGGAAATTGGGGGGAAAAGTGGAAGTAATGCATTTGGGTTGATGATAAACCTTGCAGCAAATTTGTGTCCTGCCAATTTGGCTTTCGGTTATTTGCATTTCTCTCCAGTGTACACAGCTAATGGCCACTTTCAGGAAGGACACGTCAGAGGGGATAATGAGAAAGTTGTGGCCTACTGCATCTGGATGTTAAGATTGGCCAAAAAGAAGTGGCCAGAGGCTAAAGGATAAAGACTATCTCTTGCTTGCTTTTAAATAATAACTTTTCCTACGGATCATTTGGCATTCTGTAGATATGTATTTGGTTCAGTTCCATGCCTGTATTCAGTAACAAAAGTAATGCTTCACAATTATGAATCCTCAGTGTTAAACGGGATGTTACAACTTAGGATGAAGTGGGAGCTATAAATGAGGAACACTGTTTTGCCCCCTAACACATTTGCAGTTCTTTCCTACTGAAAGTTAACTGGAAGTTACTTTTATATTTTTGTTTTTAAAGAGCCAGTCTTGCACTTTTAAAATCATAGTATTTCCAAGTCTCATTGCTTTTATTTGGCTTAGGAAGATATTTTGAAATATGGCATCCAATTAAATATTTACTGGCATCACAATTTCCCATAAGAAACAAAGCCCATCCAAGTCTGCTCATGGAAACAAAAAAGTAGTAATAATAGACTTCCCTTTAGTAGCAAACCGTTTCAAAGTTTAGATATCTGCCACATTTCTGTGTCACATGTAGGCTTATCTAGAATTATAGATATGAGGACTTTTATTCGTAAGATGGAATATTATAGAGCCATTAAACTTTAAATAATCTTAAGTAAATTTTAGTAACATGAAAAACTGTTCAGGAATTACTGCTCCCTCCCTTTTTTATTTTTAATTCCAGTGTAGTTAACATATAGTGTTCTATTAGTTTCAGATGTACAATACAGTGATTTAACAGTTCCATATATTACTGAGTTCTCATTAAAACATTCTCTTTAAAAACAAGTGCAACATGATCCAAATTTGTGTGTTTAAAAAAGGATGGAAGGAAAGACATCAGAACGTTAGCAGTAGTTAAACTAATGAGGGGAATGGGTATGGAAAAAAGGGATTTAAACATTCTTCTTTACTGCTCTGCATTTGCCAGAATCTTTGTTAACTCTGCTATTTATATTTCGGACAGTTTTTATTTTTTAACAGATGCAACGGGTTGCTTTGGGAATTCCATTTATAGATCTTAATAAAGTACTTACTGTCTTTTTTGCCTTACAGATTGATGAATTTTTTTTCTTTGAACAAAACTTGCACTATTTGCAGATGACATGATACTATATATTGAAAACCCTAACGACACCATCAAAAAACTGTTAGAACACTGCAGTTCTTAAGTCCAAGACCCAGAATTTCCAAAATCAGAATTTTCTGGGAAAAAATTATTTTTCAGATTTGGTTTTCCCTATATGCAGAAATCATTAAGGAGTATCATTTTAACAGATCATTACAATTATAACCTCACACTTGAATAGCATTCTCAGTAATGTATATAAAGCATATGCAGTTCAGTTCCCTTCTATCCAATTCTCCCTCCTGGCCTTTACCTAATTAGATCAGCATACTTATATGAGGTAGGCAACTGGCTCAAGATAAATAATCATGTGTAATATATTAACTTCACAGATAAATTCATTTTAAATTCGTCTTTATTTTTAGAGTGATCAAAAATGCTGGCTATTATAAGCCTTACTTTCTAGGAACATTAGTCAAACTTGGAATCAAGTACTGACTTCAATGTATGTAATGGTTCTGAAGGTTTAAGTGCCCTGTGAATGTGTTAACAAAGGATCAAGGTACATTATTATGAAAGGGGCTAGAATTACAGTGTGCCCTTACAAGAGAGCAGCATGAACTACTATTCAGTTTCCATCAGGTCACTTGAAACCTATTCAAGGGGGTCTCTTCTTTCAGAACTCTGGGAAAATAATCCCATGCTCTGGGATTTTAAACTTCTCACCTGACATTTGCAGATTCCCACTCCTTGAGTGTGCAGCAGGTTGTCTTTGTGTATGTGAGAAACTGGAAAAACATTTAAATGAGTACATCTAGGAGACTACCATTAGAAAAAGGAAAATCTTAAGTATTCAAACTGTAGGAAGTTGATTAGCTTGGAGGGGCTTATAGTGAAGGACCAAGTAGACTTTAGTGCAGGAATGGAATGTAGGGGGTCTGTGAGCCTAAACAGAAAAACAGAGTCTTTATTTTCATTAACCTCCAACTGAAATGTAGCATTTTCTTCTATTATGAACATCAGCAACAAATCACACTAGCTTCAGAAGTCCTTGCTTGTACCTGTTGCCAAGGGAATCACAGATATCTTTATGCCACATAATTTGGGATATCCTGAAACAAAATTTACTGATCACTATCTTGGACAGTTATTAGACCACTATTAGATCTTGCACTTTTAAATATTTTATTTATTTATTTACTTACTTACTTATTTATTTATGAGAGCGTGTGTGTGCACATGGGCATGGCGAGCCAAGGGAGGGTCAGGGAGAGGGACAAGCAGACTGTGCTGAGGGCAGAGCATGAGTGGGCGGGGGAGGCTTCACCAAGAGCTTCTATCTCACCCCCACCCCACCCCCAAGATACTGACCTGAGCTGAAATCAACAGTCAAAGTTGGGCACTCAACTCAGCGACCCAGGTGCCCCATAGATCTTGCGATTTTAAAGTGTTTATAAAAGGGTATATATATTACCATATCACCAGTTTGTTTTCTATTATTTTGATAGTTATATTTCAATTTAATTGGTTTCCTTTCTAATTCTATATATTTTGTTTTATGCATTCAATAACACTATCTTTAGAAAAAGTCTGTAAGATTCACCAGACTGCTAAAGAGATCCAAAGGTTTAGGATCCTTGATTTTTAGTGATTGCCTAAAGATGTCTTTCTGTCTTCCCACCAATTTTCTCAGTGTTTTAGAACATTATATATTTTTCTTAGTTTCCAAGCCAGCGCCTTATTGGGAAGGAACAGCTGTGATAAATGGAGAATTCAAGGAGCTCAAGTTGACTGATTATCGTGGGAAATACCTGGTTTTTTTCTTCTACCCCCTTGATTTGTAAGTAATACATGTACAGGTCATGAATCATCAGTCTTTATCAATCATTATTCAAGAACATTAAGTAGAAATTATTTTATTTAGCTGTTCTTTTCTTTTTAAAGATTTTATTCATTTATTTATGAGAGACACAGAGAGAGGCAGACATAGGCAGAGGGAGAGGCAGGCTTCCTGTGGGGAGCCTGATGTGGGACTCAAGCATAGGACCCCAGGACCACAACCTGAGCCAAAGGCAGACGCTCAACCACTGAGCCACCCAGGTGCCCCTAGCTCTTGGTTCTTAAAAGTCAAGCTAAGATGAATTTTTTTCCAAGAAGATAACATCTACCATATATTTCAGAACCAAGACCCATGATCCCAATACTTTATACTTAAATCTAAATGATTTTGTTATAATACAATCATCAAAGAAAGGAAAGCTACAATTATAGTAAGCTATACCTATTAAGGCAAGAAAATGAATAATATTTTAGAAAGCATTTAATAGCAAGACTTCTGCCACAAATCTGTTTATGTGTAATGTTAATGTGTAATGTTAACTAGAAAATTAGCCCTCTACAGTGATGATGCCATTTAACTCTGGTTTTATCATTTTTATTCTTTACTGTATCTGTTGCTTTCCTATGGTTTGAACATTTTCCTAAAAATACTGCATATGCTTAAGAAATAATGCCTATTAATATAAATTATGGTTATTGGAGAAATTTTCTCTTTAACTTTGACAGTGAACACTATAGATAAAAAGTTGACTCAAATACTCGTGCAGCTTTAGTCTTATCGAGGATATAATTTTATCTGGAATCTTTTTCAAATTCCATGAAAATGAAAAGGTAGCAGACTTATCCTGACTTTTATCTTTTTTCTATTTGAATATATTTTTGATTATAAAAAGTAGAAATATCTTCTATATTGCCACTGTGTATTAAGGTCTTTATTCCATTAGGACTAATATAGAACTGTGTAAATAAAACCTTAAACTTGCAGGGAGGATATACTTAAGCTCATCTCTATAGATTGTCTCTAAGCCAGAAGTCAGCAAACTTTTCCTGTACAGGGCCACATAATAAATTTTTTTTGCCTTGTGATCTCTATTGCAGCTACTCAACTTTGCCATTATAGCACAAAAATAGCCATAGACTATACATAAATGAATGATTATTGTTTTCTATTGAAAGTTTATTTACAAAAAATAAGACTGGATTTGGCCTGTGGGCTGAAGTTTGCTCACCCTTACTCTAATCCAAATAGGAAAAATTCTCAGAAAAATTAGTTCTTTGAAAGTAAACCAAGTCATAAATCTGGATAATACATAATCTTTTAAATTAGTAAGAACTTCTTTCTAATCAGCTTGTACTGTGGCCTAGCTAAAATGTATGATGTAACTTAACTTCTAATAGAAACCAGAAGTAGAAATTTTAATACATAAAAATGATAGGCCTTCTAAATTCATCTTGTTATAAAACCAAAAAGTTAACACATCTGTTAAATATATAGGACGCTAAATGTGAGTTTTGAAATTAGTCTAACATAGTAGACAAATATCTATTTCTCCCAGTGTTAACTTAAAACTCCATAACAAATAAGACATATCTAAAACATGATGTCACCAATGGCTTCCTGGGGCAAGAAGCTAAGACTGCTTCTTTCTGTTTCCATGTGATACCAGGTTGGGCCTAGTTAGAAAGAAAGAATTCTGAGGCATTTGCCACAGTGTGCAAGTACAAAACTCAAAAACATAGCCTTTTAGTTTTTTGCCAGAACTTTTTCTCTGTCTTCACTAAGAGGTTGGATAAGTATATATCTAAGTAGCATTTGTTGGAATAAGAAGAAGGAAGGCAGGGCTGACCATTCCTACCTTTAGGAAAATATTAAAAAATACATATATCATGGCTTAGGTTTCCAGGGATATAATCTAGATTAGAACTGTCTGCCTACATTTGAACAACTGAAACATTTGAAAAGCCTGTATTAGACTGCAGTAGGAATTTGTCCTCTAAGTCTCTGTTCTTACTTTCTTGACCACAACCTGTACATAGTACAAAATTCATTTCTCATTGCTGCCCAATACACTTACATATACATACAGGGTAACATTCAGTCTAAGCACCAGTTCAGCTGTGCTCATTAAAATACTGAAACACTTACATACCAAGTGGTAAATAGCCACCTTCCCAACCTCTTCACCAAGATGCCCCTCCCACCTGGTCCCTTTCAGAAACCTCCAGAGAGCTAAAGCCAACTTTGAGTTAAGGTTGTTGAATGTTTTCAGTATCACTCCTAAACACATACCCACAGATATGCACTTGTGTATACATACATGTTTCATAACTCACTCTTACTATATGTAAAGTATTCTCGTTTTCTATTCCACTTCTTTAAAACATTAGTTAGAACTCCATAAACTGGCTAAAGAGTCCCTACCATGGTTCGGAAAATACTACCCTAAGGTAATATTCTCTAAACATGCCTTTCTGACAACAAGACTGGGAGACAAGGTAGAAGAGGACCTTATTAAGGAAGGGAGGGGGATGGAAGAGCATTTTCTCATCTCTGAAATAAAGCTCAGTGCATCTAGCCCATAGAAGTGGTATAGGAATATAAAAAAAACATAGTGGAATGATGTAAAATCTGTATAGATCCTTTGAAAGCTATAAAGCACCATATAAATACAAAGCATTATTAAATAAAAGCTAATAAATGAGACAAGTTTCTGCCATAAGGGAGAAGGGAACATTGGTTGAGCAAGGATCCATTAAGTTATAAAAATAACATTTACTGAGATATAATTAGGAATTTTGTAATATACATTTTTAGTAAAATGATATTTGATCAAGTAATCTTTTAGAAAGATGTATCTTGACAATGTTAATATATAAAATTGTTCTTAATGTGCATTTTTATATACTAATGGTGTTTGTAAAACTAAGTCATTTGAAACTTTGGGTATATGTATATTTTGAGAATACTGAATTTTCTTTTTAACTTTCAGCACCTTTGTGTGTCCAACTGAAATCATCGCCTTTGGTGATAGAATTGAAGAATTCAAATCGATAAACACTGAAGTGGTAGCATGCTCTGTTGATTCACAGTTTACCCATTTGGCCTGGTCAGTATCTTACACTAAGATTTGTAGGAAAAAGAATGGATTTACTTTCAATTATAGGCAGACAACTCTCAGTGTGATAGGAATATAATGGTTTTTTGTTTTAATTTTATTTTAAGTAGGCTTCACACCCAATGTGGGGCTTGAACTCGTGACCCTGAGGTTAGGACTTGCATGCTCTACCAGCTGAGCCAGCTAAGCACCCTGGAATGTGGTTATCAGATAGTTCAGGAATAGATCTATCTGAGAACTGCCAGTTCAATAAAGTTAAGAAAAAAATGCTTAAGGATTTTATAGGACATTTCCAAATCAGGGAAAAAAAGCTCAGTACAAAACACCTCCATAGGAAACACCACTGAGTTATATGATTATTATGATAAATTGGTAGCCTTAGTCTGGAGGGAAAAATATTCTTTAAAATTTCATTTCTCTGTTACATAGTTATCTAGTATTAAGTCAAACTCAACAATAGTTTTTTTTTTTACTTTTTTTCACAATAGGTTTTATAATTGTTTTTCAAGAAACTGATTTTCTTAATTTTTAAAAACTTTTTTAACACCTTAAACATGAAAAGATGTTTTGCCTGATTAATTGCAAAGAACTGCAATTTAAAATGACAAGAGATGCCACTTTTTTTCCTGATTGGCCAAGATTTCAAATATTGAAATATTTATCCAGTGATGACAAAGATGTGAAGAAATGGTCCTCTCACATATACAGTTGGTTGAGCATTTCTGGAGAGTAATTAGGCAGTATGTTCAAAATCAGAAATGTATGTGTCAATGTGAACTTTTCATGTCCATAATTCTGTGCACAAGATTTTATACACAATGAAGATGGTTCAGAATTATCTTTGCTTTAAAGGTTAATACTCATTTCATTCAAGTAACAAATTCAGAACAACTTTTTCTCCATTTATAGTTATATATAGGCATATATAACTAAAATTTTAATTGGTGCAGGAGCTACAATTTAATTTATATTCCCTTAAGTAATTCTCTCAAGTATTTTTAAATGCAGTTGTATATTTAATATATTTGATTTCCTTTAAGTATCTCCATTTCCAGATAAAACTTCCAAGACTTACTTAAGTAATTCTTGCAAATCTAATAGACAAATATGGTATGCCTTAAGTCCTTTAAAAATGTTTCTTTACTATTTATAAACTTAATAAAATTTCACATTATAATTCTACATTTTTTTAATTGGTTTGCTTCGTCACTTCTATAGTATTTCTAAACCTTTGTAGGATTACAACTTAAATCCACTCATGAAAAAGTTATGTCCTCCCAAATAATTTGCAGTTGGTTTCTCAAGCAATTTGGGGGGATGCATTCTGAGCTAAATAGGTTTCATCTCAACCAGAAATTTCTGTTTGGATGTCAGAACTGGGGCTGCAGACATCTGGAGTATATTTCCCTTTTGCTAGCTGCAGTGTCAGTGCCTTCCCCTTGAGACACCCACATTCCCTGGTTTCAAGTAAAAGAATACTTAAATCTGAAGATTTAAGTGTCTGAGATTGTAACTAACTTCCTTCGATGCTTCAGGTGGACTTTGCATTCCTTTGTCTCAGAATATTAAAATATCACCCAGTTGCATTATCTCTGTTATCTCAAGGCTTTGTCTTAATCACACTTTTAAGGTTATGCTTATGACAGTGCATATCCTTTGACCCATCAGTTTCTTTTGTAGGAATTAATCAAATAAGGATGCAAAGTTGAGAATACATAGATGTTTCCAGCAAGGTTGATAAAAGCAAGAGAAAAATGGAAATAATTTAAATGTCTAGCAATAGAGATTAGTAAAATATAGTGTGTCAGTACATTAAAAATGTATGTATCTCCACATTTATTGTTTAAAGGAAATGAATGTATTAAGTCTGGAGTAAAGGCAAAAATAGAATGTATATTAACCTGTTTTTGTTAGAGAAAACATGTGTGTTGCGTATGTTCATTCATATGTGTGTATATGGAGATGAAGAACGCTGTTTGGATACATACATTTACTTCACTCTGTAGTACCAAATACTACATTTGGTAAATATTTTGTTTGTTATAGGATTAATACCCCTCGACGACAAGGAGGACTTGGGCCAATAAAGATTCCACTTCTTTCGGATCTGACCCATCAGATCTCAAAGGACTATGGCGTATATCTGGAGGACTCAGGCCATACTCTTAGGTACCTTTCGGTGGTTTTGTATTAGGACAAATCCAAATATATTTGTAATCCTCCCTAAAGGGGAGTTAGAAGATACAAGGTTTGATCAAGAAATATTATTTGCTCTATTTGCAAAAATGTTGTAGATACTGTTTAAAATAATTGGTGAGTGCCCTACTTAAACTATGTATCATAGACTGTTAGAGCTGGAAGATTATTTAGAGCTCTTTGACCAACCCTTCATTTTACAGATAAACAATTTCATAGAATTCCATGAACTTAACCAAAGTTACATAATTAATGACAGAGCCTACACTTGAAGCCAGGTACCAAAACTCCTTGCCTGTTTATTTCTCCTTTTCTCTAAAATGAGTCCAGTAATGGTTTTTCTAAGTACAATTATTATATTGTTTAGCAAACTTGTGCTGTGGGGAGTGGGAAAAATTAAGGAAGTGCCAATAGAAGTCTTTGAAAAAAGGATAACTTTAGTTTAAAACAATTGTAATTTTATTATCAAAATGCAGTGCTAATAATTTCTTTTTTAATGTTTTATGTGAAACTACCAGTATTTTATAGGCCTATGTTTTTTAGTAACAATTTTATTGAGATATAATTTACATACAACTCACCCATTTAAAGCCTACGATTCAGGCAGCCCCAGTGGCACAGCGGTTTAGCGCTGCCTGCAGCCTAGGGCATGATCCTAGAGACTCTGGATCGAGTCCTACGTCAGGCTCCCTGCATGGTGCCTGCTTCTCCCTCTGCCCCCCCCCCTCTCTCTCTCTCTCTCTGTGTGTGTGTGTGTGTGTGTGTCTATGAATAAATAAATAAATAATCTTTAAAAAAAATAAATAAAAAATAAAGCCTACGATTCAGTGGTTTCTAGTACAGCTAGAGAGTTGTGCAATCATCACCACAATCAATTTTAAAACATTTTCATTACTCTAAAAAGAAACCCCATACCCATTAGCAGTTACTCTCCCTTTCCCCCAATCCCCCTGCCCTGGCCCTGGTCCACTACTTACCTCCTTTATGTCTCTATGGTTGCCGATTCTGGACATTTCATTTAAATGGAATCCTACAATATGTGCTTTTTTATGACCAGCCTCTTTTCACTTAGCATAATGTTTTCAAGGCTCATTCATATTTTATCATATGTCACTACCAATAGTTTCTTTTTTTGTGCTTGCCAAGTCTTTAATGTCTAGTCTCTTTTCATAAAATTTATTACTAAGTTAATTCCCAAAGAGGAAGTATGCCACTAAAAAGACTGAAGCTATTTTAAAATTTCGAATTAGGGACGCCTGGGTGGCTCAGCAGTTGAACATCTGCCTTTGGCTCAGGGTATGATCCCAGAGTGCTGGGATTGAGTCCCACATCAGGCTCCCTGCGTGGAGCCTGCTTCTCCCTCTGCCTATGTCTCTGCCCCCCTCTCTCTCTCTCTCTCTATGTGTCTCTCATGAACAAATAAAATCTTTAAAAAATAGAATTAAAATGAACTTTCAAATTACCTGAACATTAACCAAGTAAAAACCATGTAACCCTGAGATCGTGACCTGAGCCGAAATCAAAAGTCAGCTGCTTAACCGACTGAGCCACCCAGGTGCCCAAGGCTGTGTGTTGGTACGATGTATGTTACAGAAGTAAGTTCACAATTTCAAATCAGACTCACTTAACTTCGGAACAGACTTCATCAGCATTAACAACCGTTTTCTACTGGTAAAAGTAGCTACATCAAAGAAAACCCATATGAGTAATAGTTTACAGTTTTGCCCAAGTTTGGCCAAGTTGACCTAGTCCAAGGAAAGTGAGCTCTAGTTAGTTCAGACATCATGGTGCTCATTAAAGAAATATTTTGTAGGATAAGCAAGAACACTTTATAATGTTTAATGTGATTATGAAACAAAATTTCATGTAATAGATTTGTAATTCCATGTATTTCTGTTAAAAATAGATCTCATTATTATTTATAATTCTCATAACCAATTAGCCCTAGTACCTGAGATCTTTTTCTAAACCAAGTGTTAAGTTGAAATCCATATTGACTGAAATAAAAACAGTAAAGTCCTTTGGTAGTTTTTGTTTTTTTCTGGTCTGCTTTAACTCTTGCCATGCCATCTCAGTATAGCAGCTCTTTTAAGTTAAACTGCTCCATTCTTCCCTAGGCCATAAAGTAAATACACAGATTTAGAGAGAAAGGTAACTTCGCTTATATTGGTGACTTTGTCTTTTCCACCTCTGAAAAAGGAAATACAAAGATGTTCTAAATAGCCAGTGATAAGAAAGGTGGATCACTCCTTCACCCAGAGGTAGACTTTGCTATATAGATTCATCATTTCATTTACAGTGCATTAAAATCCCAAACCTAGTACTAGTGAAGAATTAAATGGAAATACAACAGTACATTTCATAGACAAAAACAAATTTTTAAAGCTACCATTTAACAATGATAATCCAAGTTATACAGTAGGTAAGAGTGGGTTTGGGCAGGGGGTTGTATTTGCATGTGTGTACACCAAACAGGTAATGTGTTGTTGGTTCTGTATAACATCCTGTGTGGATGGCACAGGGATTCAGATTAACTAATATTTGTCTTAATTGAGATGAAATGACCTCACCTGTACCACTCTTGTGTTTTACAGAGGTCTTTTCATTATTGATGACAAAGGAATCCTAAGACAGATTACTCTGAATGACCTCCCAGTCGGTAGATCAGTGGATGAAACACTGCGTTTGGTTCAAGCATTCCAGTATACTGACCGACATGGAGAAGGTACCCTTTCCTTCTGTCTTGGCCTTTTGATTTTTTCATTTGAGAAATGATAGCACGATTAATTTGGTTTCTTAGTCAAAAAGTAGTGTGGGAAAAAAACTAATGTGGATGATTTCAAAATCCTCTGATTATTTTCAAATTATTGCCTGGTCTTTTTAGCAGATCCAAGTATTATTTAAAGTGCTTTAAACAAAATATCGATAATATATCCTGCTGAGAGAATAAAATGTAAAAATACTCATTTTATACAGTCCATAGATAAAAGTTTCTTCTACTGTAATTTTTTAATTATGTTCCTGTAAACTTAAAATATGCCAGTCTGGCAGTATTTCATAATGTAGGTTTTATTTGCATGTTTACATTTTTTAATTTTTTTTTCATGTTTACATTTTTTGACTTAGCTTTTTCCCTCAAAGCTGTTTGGTTTCATACTAGTGATCAATTCATCCTTTCATTCCCAAGTTTTTGCAGTAGCTAAATGGAAAAGGTCAGATTTTGCTAAAATAGAACATATGTGATATATTCTTTTCAAAAGTGTAACTCAGGCCCTGAGTAAGGGTGCATTCTAAAGGGGAAATGCCATTTTCTTAGTAATTTTGAACTCTTAATTGACAAACAGCAAACTGTGGCATCAATACAAGATACTACAGAAAACAGAAGGTAAGTTTATATTGGAAGTTTATATAAATTCAGAGATTTTTGCCTTGCCCCAATGTTTCAGTTCACCAGATTCCCAAATCTTCCAACTTTACTAGATTTTTGCCTTGCCCCAATCTTTCAGTTCACCAGATTCCCAAATATTCCAACTTTACTAGAGAAACACTCAACGTGGTTTCTTATATTGTAAATGTAACTAGATATAATTTACTAGAGAAACACTCAACGTGGTTTCTTATATTGTAAATGTAACTAGATATAATTGGCAAAAAAATGGAAATAGATTAGCTGCCTGTTGATAAACTCTGTGACTGGAATTCCTTGGTGCAAGCAGGCAAGCAAACTAATCAAGTGTCCTGTGGCCTAGAAATGTTCTCATTATTATAGGCTCTCTTCAGTTTCATTTTGGAAAAAGAAAAGCCAAGAGTGGCTGAAGAGAATTGAACATGTTCTTAAACTTTTTGCCAATTTTTGTTCCTTTCAGTCTGCCCTGCTGGTTGGAAACCTGGTAGCGAAACTGTAAGTCAAACTGATTTTTCTGTCAGTGGGATAGCTGGGGCCCCATAAATGCCAACTTTTGAATAATCTTTTTTTGTAATAGAACTATGTTGATTTTATAAATGAAGTAAACATTACTAGACAGAAATCATGGGCCATAGAGAGAGTAGCTCAAACTGGAGAAAGCAGAATATGAGAGTTAATGCTCTGAATTTTAAAGCCAAGAATCCAGAGAAATATACTATCAAAAGAAATCACAAAGGGAACAGTGGAGACCTAGTATAATAAAGGCAGAGGTCTTAGAGATCATGTACAGAATTTCTTCCTATATTGTGGGCCAAGAAAATAGTCACAAGCAAAACCTTTCTGTATATAGTAAACTTTTGAGAAAATCTGGCTTAATTAACATTGAAACTAATGATTCTCTCCTTATCATTTGAAGGAAGATTGAAACAGATATATCCTTTCACTTAAGGAGGCTATATAATTGACAATCCCAGAAGTAGTCTCTGGCCAAAATACAATTGGGAAACTTGCTTGAACCTTTTTAAAATAACATGCTTATCTTCTAAAAATCAACAGTTCTATACAAACTGTAGTTAGGAAATTGACAACTACTAGAGCACTGAAGGAAGAAATCATCTTAGGATAAAAGAAAAATACAGACTCCTAAGACTTCTTTAGCCAATCAAAAAAAAGTACCATTAATCATAGACAATGAGAGGAAGAAATTCACTCTGTAACCTAACTCAGATTGGGGATTGGGTAAAGTAATATTTCACTGATTATTTTTTTAAAGATTATTTATTTATTCATAGAGACACAGAGAGAGAGATAGAGGCAGAGACACAGGTAGAGGGAGAAGCAGGCACCATGCAGAGAGCCTGACATGGGACTTGATCCAGGGTCTCCAGGATCACACCCTAGGTTGCAGGCGGCACTAAACCGCTGCACCACTGGGGCTGCCCTATTTAACTGATTTTTGAACCAGTTTTTGATGGGTTTGCAAAACAACTTTGCCTTTGTGGGTCAAAGTTAAGATTACAGTACAAATTTATTTACCTCTACATGGATGTGATGGATCTCAAAGATAGATACGAAGGTAGGCATTAAAGGTACTTTGAGTGGTAGGTGCTTTAAATTGTACATGAGTCATTAACTTAGCTTACAATTATGGATTGTGAGGCTTCCAGATAGAAATATGAATCAGAAGCTGCAGGCATCTCCTGAGAAGCCTTAGAAGGAATTTCTGGATAGATCTTTGAAGTAGGGGGCATGTTCCCTGGAAGCTGTAGCAAAACCAACAGTGAATGATGAATAACCTCACCCATCAGTCACATGCATGTACTAAGAGATCAGCAAGAGCTCCTAATAAGTACGAATTAACTACGAAGGTTGTTAGAGGAGGAGTATTTTACGTTTCAGAAAACATGTTAACTATCCACTTGATTAACTTTTGGAGGGGCCACAAACCCCTATGAGAATCTGATAAAAACCATGAATTCTCCCACCAAAAAAACCGCACATATGTAATCACATACTGTGTTTGGGCATTCCTTTTTTTATTCTCATCTTTATTGAGGTATAACTGATAAATAGAATTGTAGATATTTAAACTACACAATGTGACAATATATGTATACATTGTAAAATGATCATCATAATCTGGTTAATTAACAAATCCATCACCTCCTATGGTTCTATTCTTTTGTGTGTTGTAAGAACACTTAAGATCTACTCTTTTAGCAAATTTCAAGTACACAAAACAGTATTAACTATAGTCACTCTGCTGTATATGACATCCTCAGAACTTACTCATCTTAAAACTAAAGGCTTATACCCTTTGGCATCTTCCCATTTCCCCCACCCTCAGTCCCTGACAACCACAATTCTACTCTGTTTCTATGGGCATTCTTTCAACAGATATTTCTTGAGCATCTGCTATGTGGCAACTATTGAAACTATTATGATAGGCAGATGGTATTTATTAGTGAATATCACAACCAAGGTCCCTACCCTCAGAGTTACATTCTAATTTTAGATTGTGGCAAATGCTTTTAGAAACAGTTGGTAGGATAGCAGCTGGGGTGGCGGATTAAATGGCCAGGGAAGATTTCTAAGATGACATTTAAGTTGAAACGTGAGTGAAGAGAGGGAGCAAGGCAAGCATAGAGCAGTGCAGAAAGAAAACCAAGGGTGAGGCCCTGAGCCAGGAACCAGCTTAGTATGTTCAAGAAATGTAAAGGGGGCCCATGTGGCAGGAATAGGGACACTAGTGTCACATGGCATGGGGAATGGGAATACAGTGAAGTAACAGAAATGTAGAACCTTCGGTGACTGGTGAGTAGCTAGTTTGGAGGAGTTTGAAAATACATCTCCCTGGCTTCTCTCCTGTTTATAGCACAGGCCTCCTGATTTGTTGCCCTGACCTCAGCTTCTCTCCTCTCTAGTACATATCATACTCCAAACCAGATCTTTTAGCAGCCCTTCAGTAACTCACACTACACAATCCAGGTACTTGGCACAGCTTTCAAGCCTATGCACTGTTTGTATCTACCAACCTCTCCCAGGTCATCTTCCCTACAATTCACACATGCCACACGCACACGTTCTATGTTCCCACCAAGTCCCATGACTCACTTTCCCCCAAAATAAGCCCTACTTTTTCTTCACACCTTTGTGCTTTTGCTCAAGCCTTTAGCCTGGAATATCTTCCCCCTTCCCTAAATTCTACTCCTCTTTTTTTTATAATAAATTTATTTTTTATTGGTGTTCAATTTACCAGCATACAGAATAACACCCAGTCTACTCCTCTTTCAAGATCAACTTAAGTGCCACTCTGAGGCCTTCCTTGATGCCATCTCAGCCTCCAGTCACAGCCTGTGTCATATGTTATCATATTGTGCTGTGCATCGCGTCGACAACTTACATACACGCACATGTTCCCCACATGCTTATACAAGTCTCAAAGGCAAGGACTTTAGTGCAGTTATCCTCGTATGCCTGGCACACTGTTGGCACACAGTGCCGTATTATTCTCCTAAGTACTTACAAATTGAATTTAAATGCAGAGAGATTATAAATTGGCAAAGACAGAATACTCCCTGAAGTGATACCTGAAAAATTACATAATATTTATTATGTGAAGAAAATTCATATAGAACTATTGTAAACTCATTACAATAGGTTACTTTTTATGTATAGGGACAGATGTACTTTACCTATAACTATCAAAATAGTATGAGGTCAAATCATATTGGAAATTTCAAAAAGACCTAAGGCTGTAGTGCTGTTAAGGAGGGAGCTTTTTTTTCTTTCAGATTGTTTCTTCATTCACTAAATAGTTATTGAACATATTGCTTTATGTATTTGAGTATTTTTCTTACTTTGCACTTTGAGTTTAAAAGGTTGCATTCTGGAAAAAAAAAGGTTGCATTCTGGACTTCCAAAAAATCCATTTAATGGATAAAAAAGATGTAATATATATACAATGAACTATTTCTCAGCCATAAAAAGAATTAAATCTTACCATCTGCAACAACATGGATAGACTCAAAGGGTATTATGCTGAGTGAAATAAGTCAGAGAAAGACAAATACTATATGATTTCATATATATATATATATATATATCCTAAAAAAAAAAAAAACAGAAACAGACTCATAGATACAGAGAACTGATGGTTGCCAAAGGGGGGAAAAGGGGATGGGGGTGGGAGGATGGACAAGATATATTAAGAGATTTAAGAGGTACAATCTTCTAATTATAAAATGAGTAAGTCATGGGGATTAAAAGTACAACACAGGGAATATAGTCAACGATATTGTAACAAGTTTATATGGTGACAGATGGTGACTAGATATATTGTGGTGACATTTCATAATGTATATAAATACTGAATCATTATGATATACACCTGAAACTAACATGATATTGTATGTCAATTTTTAATTAAATAAAAATAAAAGATCCCTCTGAACACACTGCCACCTTCAGGTTGTTGTGGCATACTGACATCTTATCAGCAGATAACTTTAAAAATACATTAACATCTGTAGCCATGCTCTCTTAATGTGTTTGACTTAATTAGATCAAACCTGGAGATGTCATGAAAGCCTGGTGGCGAAAAGAAGAGCTGTAAGTAAATTTTGGGATGCTTGAATACAGATGTTAATTTATTAACAAATATGCCTTTTGGGATAGGTGAGATTAATGAGTAGGACAAATCCAGTTTTCCCATATATATATATAATTTGGGACACAAAAATCCTCTTTATCTTCTTTAGTCAAGGGACAGGCAACTAATATCAGATTATTACTGATGTACTTTGACTTTTAAAATGAATAATTTGGGCAGCCCGGGTGGCTCAGCGGTTTAGCATCTGCCTCCAGCCCAGGGCCTGATCCTGGAGTTCCAGAATTGAGTCCCATGTCAGGCTCCCTGCATGGAGCCTGTTTCTCCCTCTGCCTGTGTCTCTGCCTCCCTCTCTGTGTCTCTCATGAATAAATAAATAAAATCTTTAAAAAATAAAATAAAATAAAATGAATAATTTGCAAACATCAATTTGAAGACATGCGCACCCCTATGTTCACTGTAGTATTATTTATAATAGCCAAGATATGAAACCAACCTAAGTGTTCATCAAGAAATGAATGGATAGGGGATCCCTGGGTGGCTCAGCGGTTTAGCGCCTGCCTTTGGCCCAGGGCGCGATCCTGGAGTCCCGGGATCGAGTTCCACGTCGGGCTCCCGGCATGGAGCCTGCTTCTCCCTCCTCCTGTGTCTCTGCCTCTCTCTCTCTCTATCATAAATAAATAAATAAATCTTTAAAAAATATTAAAAAAAAAGAAATGAATGGATAAATGAATGTGGTATATTTTGACAATGGAATATCACTCAGCCATAAAAATGATTGAACTCTCCATTTGTAGCATGGATGGTCCTAGAGGGTACTATGCTAAGTGAAGTAAGTCGGAGGAAACCAAATACTACATGATTTCACTTATATGTGAACTCAAAAAACAAAACAAATGAACAGATAAAACCAAACAGAATTAAATATAAAGAACAAACTGGTGGTTGCCAGAGGGGAGGTGGGTTGAGGAGAGGGCAAAGTAGATGGAAATTAAGAGGTACAAAGTTCCAGATATAAAGTAAATCACAGAGATGAAAAGTACAGCATAAGGAATATAGTCAATATCATAATAACTTTGTATGATGACAGATGAGAACCAGACCTGTTAGGATCATTTCATAATGTATAAAAATATAACAAATCACAATGATGTATACCTGAAACAAATAGAATATTGAATGTCAATAATACTTAAATAAAAATTGACAGTTTTTTTAAAATGAGTAATTTGCTTTTTTTTTAACAGATAATCCCAGATCCAGCTGGAAAACTGAAGTATTTTGACAAACTCAACTGAAAAATACTTCATCAGCTGAAAAGTACTTCGTCAGGTTGCAATGCTTGAAGGTTCTTAGTGAAGTTCACCGTTTTAGAACTTAGTAAAGTTCACCGTTTCAGAACCATATTGTGTTATAGTTGTAATTTCTTGAAGAATATAAAACTCCCTAAGATACCTAGTGTTCAAATTAAACACCAGTGCCAAAAGATAGGCGGTTACTCTCTCTCTCTTCCCAAAGTCAGAAATGTCAGGTTGATTCAAATTAGTAACAGCAAGAGTAATAGGGACGCCTGGGTGGCTCAGCGGTCGAGCATCTGCCTTTGGCTCAGGGTGTGATCCCAGTCCAGGGATTGAGTCCCACATCGGGCTTCCTATAAGGAGCCTACTTCTCCCTCTGTCTGTCTCTGCTTCTCTCTGTGTCTCTCAGGAATAAACAAATAAAATCTTTTTTAAAAAAAGAGTAATATTTATGTAATATATGCTATATGCCAGCATTGTGTTAGGTAGATTAGGTGCATTATTGCATTTAATCCTCAAAGCAACTCTTTGAGTTATTTATTTTAAGATTTATCTATTTACATTAGAGATAGAGAGCACAGGCCGGGGGGGGGGCGGTGGTTGGCAGGGTAGGGAGAGAGAGTCTCAGACAGACTCCACACTGGAGTGGCATGGAGCCTGATGTGGGGCTCAATTCCATGACCCAGAAATCACGACCTGAGCTGAAAAAACAAGAGTCACATGTCTTACTGACTGAGCTACCCAGGTGCCCTAGGCTGTATCTTCTTGATTAATAATGTCCATTCCGTTCCATTAATAGTTTTCTAGCCTCAGGTTCAATTTAGGTGTGTTTAAAAGGAGGAATTACATTCATATCTGTTGGGAAAAGGCAGTCATTAATGTTTCATTCAGTATTCAGCAACTTTTGATCATCTACTGTAAATACCTGGCATTTATCAAGTAACCAAAAACAAATTTCTACCCTCAAGGAGCTTGGTATTTGATTACTGAGGCAGGTGCAGATAGTGTAGTAATTGGGGGGGCTACCTAAAAATAAGTGAAAATACATCCTGAGTCACCACTTTCATAGTAACTGGATAACGTAAATAGCCTATGAATAAAACAGGATTAAATGCACTCCTTCTCAATGCCTTTTATAAACTATCCCTTCAAACAGCTTACTTCTGAAAGACCACAGATCCAAAACTATATCCTAAAGATGATCTCATGTGGTCATTTACAAAAGACAGGAAAAGTAGTATTCAGAAAGGAGAGTCCTGTGTCCTACCACAGAGGGTGGGCCCTGGGCCTGACTGGGGTGTGGCTACCTGAGACCTCTTACAGGAACACGCTGACCTACCATAATCTAGAGCAGGGGTTTTCAACTGGGGACAACTTGCCCCCAGGGGACATGGTAATGTGTAAAGATATTTTTGGTTGTCACAACTGTGGAAGTGCCAGTGGTGTCTAGTAGGTAGGGGCCAGGGCTGCTGCTATAGATTCTACATTACACAGGACATCCCCCAGAACAAAGAATTATCTGGCCCAAGATGTCAATAGTGGTAAGGTTGAAAGACCCTTCTCTAGAGACATCTGCCAAGTACTTAAGGAAAGGAGGCCAATGTAGTTTAGAACAGACCATGCACGAAAAGTAGCAGCTTCTCCAAAATAATACCAAGAGGTAACTTCAAGCTTCTACAAAGTACACTAGGCAATGTCTTTTCAGGGCACTAGTACATAGATCTATAATTCTCTGCATCTCCCTTAAATTTTTGCTATTCTGTTGGATATTTCCTTTACCAGTGTTCTGAACTTTATAATGATTGTGGCAGACTGCTCTTTCAAGAATTTTAGTCTCCAGAATCTCATGCAAGAACTGATTTCCCACTCCCATCATTTCTTCTCAGTCCAAGGACTCTCCAATCATACATCCTAAACTTAGTGTCGGTAAACTTACAGATTGTATATTTTATTCTCAAATACATTAACCACTATTTTATTATTGAATGATATTTTTGTACCTGAACCCCTCTATCTGATATGATGGAATGCATCCTTGTATTTTGTTACCCATGAACTTGCTGACAGTACTGTCAATGAGGGTGCCTGGGTGCTCAGTCGGTTACACATCTGCCTTTATCTCAGGTCTTGATCTCCTGGTCCTGGGATCAAGCCCTGTATTGGGCTCCCTGCTCAGCAAGGAGTCTGCTTCTCCCTCTCCCTCTGCCCCTTCCCCCACTCATGCATGTGTGCATGCTCTCAAAATATTTTTAAAAATACTGTGTCGATGGAGAAGGACAAACATTATATGGTCTCATTCATTTGGGGAATATAAAAAACAGTGAAAGGGAATAAAGGGGAAAGGAGAAAAAATGACTGGAAAATATCAGAAAGGGAGAACATGAGAGACTCCTAACTGGGAAACGAACTAGGGGTGGTGGAAGGGGAGGTGGGCGGAGGGTTGGGGGTCACTGGGTGACGGGCACTGGGGGGGGCACTTGATGGGATGAGCACTGGGTGTTATTCTATATGTTGGCAAATTGAACACCAATAAAAAATAAATTTATAGGGGCAGCGCTGGTGGCGCAAAGGTTTAGTGTCACCTGCAGCCCGGGGCGTGATCCTGGAGACCCGGGATTGAGTCCCACGTCGGGCTCCCTGCATGGAACCTGCTTCTCCCTCTGCCTGTCTCTGCCTCTCTCTCTCTCTCTCTCTCTCTCTCTGTCTCTCATGAATAAAATCTTAAAAAAATAAATTTATAAAAAAATACTATGTCAATGAAATCTCTGAATAGAGTTACTAATATATGAATGTGATGAAATGTGTATTTGAGGTAACTAGCTCTACAAGGTCTCCATCTCAGGGGAGATATATAGATATAGACATATGTATATAGACATACACATACATAAACTCTCCTATAGTAAAATTTGTACCTAGCTTTTGTCCTAAAGATTTTAATTAATTATTTAAGAGAGAAAGCAGAAAGCACAAGTGGGGAGGAGGGAGAGAGGCAGAAGAAGGAGGAGAAACAGATTCTGTGCTGAGCAGGGAGCCTGACACAGGGCTCAATCCCAAGGACCCTGAGATCGTGACCTGAGCTAAAGGCAACGCTACACTGACTGAGCCACCCAGGCCACACTGTACCTTTAAAAGGGAAAAAATGTTTATCATAGTTACTTATGTATTTAGTCTTAGATAGCAAAGAAACTCACCAATTCCATTAACACAATTTTGGCATAATGTTACGTACATTTACATAAAATCCTAAGAATTTATTTTTAAAGATCCACCTTGCTAAGGCTTAAGCGTAGATTTTTTAAAATTAAAATCAAAAGCCAAGTCAAAACCCAAATTCACCTAAATCATGCATTTGTTCATATATGACCTACACATGTGCAAGGTACTTTGCTGGCAATGTGGATAAGAACACATGAAATAGTCCCATCAAGAAGAAGAATTTGCAGTCTCCCAAATGAAACCATATGAAAAGAGCAAGACAATGTAATGCTAAAAACACCAACACTGGTGGGCATTCTAAGGGGAGCATGAACAACTACCAGCAAAGACAGATGAGGGGAGGTGTGCCACTAGCAGGGAGTTCACATTTCCCGCTCTCCTACTGAAAGCCATACCACCTACAAGAGTACTGTCCTTTAAAAAAATAAAAAACTGGGACACCTGGGTGGCTCAGCGGTTGAGCGTCTGCCTTTGGCTCAGGGCATGATCCCAGATCCTGGGATCCTGGGATCCCAGTCCCACATCGGGCTCCCTCCATGGAGCCTGCTTCTCCTTCTGCCTGTGTGTCTCTGTCTGTCTCTGTATGTCTCTCATGAATAAATAAATCTTAAAAAAAATAAAAGTAAAAAACTACTTGTTACCCAACCTCAAGAAATGGAAGCACTAACTGGTTTTCCTCTTTCATAGTAATCTACTCGGAGATAGCACATACTTTAGAGTTGATTGGTTAGAGTTAGAGGTGTGTGGCCAAGCTTAGATGGAAGAATTGAGTCACATTAACTTCAAGCTCTGGCCATTTGGACAGCTCAGTTAGGACATCAGAAACTGAATTTACAAGTTTTCTATAAAAGGTAGTATGCTACACTGTAACCCAAGGGCCACAAGATGGCGCCAGGCAAAGTTATTATTGCTTTAGACTTTAATAACTCTAATTTAAAAATAAAACTTAAAAATTAAAAATTCTGAAATTCAACCTAAGTACAGCTCAAGTAGCCATCTTAATGTGTACTAAGTGTACTCTTTCCATCAGTTACCATGACCCAATTAGTACATTATATACTGTGACAGTCCATCCGTAAATGTACGCACCATGCAGATGCATAACAAGTTTCGCATATTTGCCATTTCTTTTTTTTTATTTGCCATTTCTAGGCATGATTCATTCTGATCTTTTATTTTCGTAATGTTGGTCACAACCCACTAAATGTCATGACCCACAGTTTAAAAATTAAACACACAGTATTCTTATAGATAGAAGATACAGATGTATATACATATAAAATCAGGATAAGATAAATGCCTGGTATATCAATACCTTATCAAATGTGTAATTTTCACTTTACTTCCATTAGGGCTTTGTTCATTTGTTTTAGCCTTACTATTCTATTAAAGGTGCACAATTTCTGTGACGCAAACCCAAATACCCTACCTTTTTTCTTGGTTACTCTAATCCTTTCTCTGAGGTATTAATTTCTCAATGCCTCTGGATAATTGAATGGTTTTCAGAGGGCTATTTTATTCTGAGGCTGCATTTTTTTTAGAATACACACCTTAAGACTTGATTTTTAAGATGATATGCAATATATTCATTAAAATATTTAACCGAAAAGCTGAATCAAGTGAAAGAATATAGGCCTAAATCAGGGGACTCTAGAACAAGAGTGCCCCTTTAATGGAGTAGGAAATAGAATTCAAAAAGATGAATCTCCTAGCCCAGTCCCAGAAAAAGCCAGTTACAGACCTATAGGCGAAACTTCATGGGCACAGACATTCAGGTCAACACCGCTTCACCCACATCACATCACACTGCCTCCTGAAACCCACCCGATGGATGAAAGGACTCCCAAAACCACCTCAGACTGATCCCCTTAGATCAAAATAATTTTA